AGACTGATCTGCGAGTGAAACCTTGAAAGCTCGCGAGATCAGGATGGTCTCACGAGGCTACTCCTGTGTGTCATTGTGCACGAAACTTCATGGCAATAAATCATCAGAAATATTGCTGACTTGTGCGCGTCTCAAGCGCACTCTTTACGTTCGTCCTAATGCCTGTTAGTTGTCCGCGGATTTGCCTATATTTGGCGCTGAAAATGGAAACGTCTTTAGACATGGAAAATCGATTTTACAATCGATTCAATGAACATTTATGTCTCAAAAATCGATCAGGATTTTTTCACAAAAGTGACAGCCCTCTTCACCATGTTGTCATTATCATGTGACCTACCAGATTAAGTTGCATTGCTTCACTAGCATTCATAATCCTCTCCCGTGGCCTCATGGGATAGTAAAGTGTCCATCCTATGCACATTTCAGAATCTCGCTGGAAGAAGTAGGTCATCTGAGTACTTTTTCCCTCTCTTTTATTAGCACTGTGAATTCGGACATACTACTTTTGTCACATACTTTTTTTCACCTACTATATAAAAGGGAAGTATGCGATTTCGTATGCAGCCTCTGTTTTTATGAGTGAACCGTTGAATCGTTCACGCAACCGATTCATTCATTAACACTGATTCATTCGGGACGGGAACTGAATGCTACTGCTGTATGTTGCTCAGAAGCGTGCAGCGTTTAATTCTTCTTTGGCTTCTTTTAGAACTACTTTTGTTTGTGGAGCAAAAACAGGCAGTGATTACTGTAAATATGTAAGTTACTCAAAATTAACTTTTTGTTTATTGAACAGTTGTGTACATGTACTTCACTCGCTGTCGTTGTCGGAATATCAGAACAGACTGCTGTTGATTCAGAATAACAGTACATTCAGTATAACAGTACATTCGTGTACTGTGTCATCCCATAGGATGAGTGTAAACATGTTCTCATGGATTTTACGCAGTTTAAAGCGGTTTAAAGGGATACTCCACCCAAAAATGAAAATTCTGTCATCATTTACTCACCCTCAAGTTGTTGCAAACCTGTATGAGTTTATTTCTTCTGCTGAACACAAAGGAAGATATTTTGAAGAACGATTGGAACCAAACAGTTGTTTGGCACCATTGACTTCCATAGTAGAAAAAATTAATACTATGGAAGTCAATGGTGCCAAAGTTCCAATCGCTCTTCAAAATATCTTCCTTTGTGTTCAGCAGAAGAAAGAAACTCATACAGGTTTGCAACAACTTGAGGGTGAGTAAATGATGACAGAATTTTCATTTTTGGGTGGAGTATCCCTTTAAGGGAGAGTTTTTACATGCTTTCATATCGCGCCTCGCAAGTCACGTCCACGTTATTTTGAGACATTGTTTCAAAGGAAACTGAAAGACATTTTTTTAATATAGGCTATAGCTATATATGGCTTTTTTTGCGTTTTGAGGCAAGCAGCAGTATCACTGTGGGATGACATGTAATTGACTATTTTTATCCTTTACAGGTATGAAAATTGAGGGACAATTAGGTAGCCTACTGTACTTTCTTTGCATCTCCAATGATTATATCTACAGCCTGTTTTTTTTGTCAGCAAACTGGCTTTGATTGGTCCCATGCAAGGTTTTAAACCAGCAATCTTGAAGTTTTATTCCTGAAGTTTATTATATATATTATTTTAAATATTAGGCTATGTTTTTATATAACCCAATAGAAAATGCAATGCCTTGCACACCTGAATCATAAAGTATCCTATGTGCTTAGAAAGTTTAAACATAAAAATATAAATCCTCCAGACTAATCAAATAAATATTTCTTATGATGATGCAAGTTTAAGCATGCAGAAGTCATATTTTTTTCTTGTTTTTTTTGTAAAACATAAAATTCTCCGAGTAAAAATGCTGAGCTGTTCTTATTAAGTGTCAACATGTTTATAAATGTAGTGTTCTCTTCTCTCTCTTTTTAATCTGTAGTGTCATTAATGACTCCAAGGTAGTTAGGATGTGATTCTGTGGTGCCAAAGCTGTCAAACACAGAAATAGCGGAACAATTGTTGGGATGTGGAAGTTACTGTAGGGTGACTTGTCATCTTCAGCTCTTCTTCCTGACGTTCTGTTCACACCTGTTCTTTAATAGCCATTCTCCTCATGCTGTGACCATACCCATCCCAGACCTCACACACGCACACACACGCACATGGAGCCAGGGGTTGCAAGAGGATCCCCACTCTTGGATTTCACCCTCTCATCATGACATCCATTAAAGTCCTGCTGGGTCCCAGTCCCTAGCGGGTAGACAGCACATTAGCGCTTGGACCATTGAGCTCAACAAGGCCCTGCTCTGAATTATTGATCCCAACACAACTAATGAGGGAACCCTATCCCCTCTTTTGATGAGACACACACGGTCACACTACTGTGTGAGCTCTGCATTGCCGTACACACTGGCACACTGTCCACGCAGCCATCACTCGGTTTGCCAAGACTGGGCTGGTCCATTTAATCAACCTGTTTATCAATGCTTTGACGTTCGAAGGCTCAGATGGCGTCACTGAAAAAAACAGGACTGCATTTCCCAAAAGCATCATAAGCATATGTAGATTGTAGAAACCACTGCCACCAATAGTCTCTACAATCAACTTAGGCTCACAAAGCTTTTGGGAAATGCAGGCCAAGTTAAATGGGTGTGAATTTACAGGCTGGCCCAAACTGTTTTTTTGATTGTTCGTGGTTATTTTTTCAACTTAACACGATGGCAAAGGTAATCTAAATGTACAATGTTCATTTAAAGTTCATCTTAAAAAAGTAATTATTTAAAATAAAATAATAATTTAATAAGACTGCTATATCTAATCACGTGCACTTTATGTACACTTCTTTTGTACTGTACATTTTAATGCTATGATGCCAAAATTCAGCATTTAAAATGATTTTGAGTTTATAATGTAATTTTTCACTTATTTACTAGACAAAGTAGTATATTTCTTTATTAATTTTAATATCTGCCAATTCATTTGCATTTTTAATTTGAATTTCAGGAGGTAGAATTCAAATAAATTGGAATTCAAATAAATGTATTTAATCCCAATAAGTGTAGTTTTTAATTAGAGATGGAAAGCTTGTCAAGACGAATGTTAACATGACAACCTTATTTGAATGCATTAGGACAGGGAAGAGACAAACTTGGTTTTGGAGAGCCACTGTCCTGCAGAGTTTAGCTCCCACCCTAAAAATAAACTCACCTGCCTGTAGCCTTCTAGTGATCCTGAAGACATTGATCAGCTACGCCAGGTGTGTTTTATTAGGGTTGGAGGAAAACTCCGCAGGACAGTCCCTCCAGGACCGTGTTTGCCCATTCCCTGGTAAAGACAACAGCATACCAGCATCCAAAACACATTATATCCTCAACATGAGGGTGCATTTTAGCTTTGTCGCCGTTTGCATCCACAAATGACAAACCCTGATTCACGACCTTCCTCCTGACCTTTACAAAGTGAATGATTAAGCAAAGCTTCAACAATATGCAGTTAATCAGTAAAGATCAGTATAAAGACCTCACCTGTATCAGTGTGTTTACCCATTGGTGTATCAGGGCACACACACACACACACACGAGTCCATCCTCATTATGAGCTGTTTGCTCAGGTGCTGGTTTAATAGTGTGTATGAGTGCCCTCTGGTATCAGATGACGGCGTGCGTGCAAATGCACATGTAATGCACCTTTTAGTCCTTTTTTTTTTTTTTTTACATTTATGCATTTGTCTGACGCTTTTAATGGAGCTTATATGTCCAATTTTCCCCACCCTTCTTTATTTTCTGTGCAGTGCACTATCGAGAGTGTGAGCCAGCCTCCTTAGTATTCACATCCCCACTCGCTGACTTACTGCACAAGCCAGAGACAACAGAAGAGAGAGAGAGAGAGAGAGAGAGCGAGAGAGAGAGAAGGTAAAAGGAACAAAAAGGAAGACAAAATAAAAGAATTGCAATTTTTCTAGCCCCCGGCTCATGTGTGCGTAGTGTGTGTGCAAGTATGCGGCTTTAGAGAATTCATTTGTGACACCTTTTTTTTCTCTAGCCTTATTTTTAAATGGTCGATTCACCCCTGCAGCATGGCTTTCCTTCATCGGAAAGGCTGCCATAAGCTCAGCTGTTGTCTGAGGCGAGCCGAAACGTTTACATACCAAAGATGTTCAATTTTAAATTCTTTATGTGGTGCATTTCATCCCGACAATGACACGTTTTGAAATTGGGCCAATTGTGCTAAATAAGACTGCGGCTTGTGTCGGTGTCTCTCTCTCTCTCTCTCTCTCTCTCTCTCTCTCTCTCTCTCTCTCTCTCTCTCTCTCTCTCTCTCTCTCTCTCTCTCTCTCTCTCTCTCTCTCTCTCTCTCTCTCTCTCTCTCTCTCTGTTAGTTTCTCTGTCTCTCTCATTCTTCCTTCCAGTCTTTTCTCCGTGTCACTCCATGTCTCCTCATCCCTCTGTCAGTTTGAATTTAGTTTAAAATCCCCCGCTTCCCCATTCCTTTGCTCTGTCGCTCTCCGTTCCATCTCTTCCGAACGCTCTGTCCCCTATCTCAAATCTCCCCAAACTATTGAGAAAAGCTTTGCGTAACAAATATTTCCTGCAACAGAAAGACTAAAGGAGCGATGGAGCCTGAGGGAGTTGCGGAGAGGACGTTAATCCCCTTAGAAGTTCACCGCCACAGGGTTGCAAAGCGAAAAAGAGGAATGAGAGATGGAGAAGTGACCACCACAGTCGCGATTGCCATAAACAGACCGATTATGAGAGTGAAAGAGATGGAGGGAAAAATTGAGAGAGAGAGTGTGTGGCAATGCTTTCATGCTTTCCACTCTGCAGGATGACAAGCGGCTGCTGCCTCTCCAATTGGTTGGGACTGCCACCAATCAGAGCGCAGGCAGGGAAGGTGCCTTTAGGTTATACCCAACCCCAAAAGAGAGAGAGAGAGAGAGAGAGAGAGAGAGAGAGAGAGAGAGAGAGAGAGAGAGAGAGAGAGAGCGAGCGCAGATACCGGCTTGACTGTGCTACTGAGGCATTTCTTCATGTTATCTGAGAAATGTTCCTGTTGAAGGGAAACTGTTCATCTTGTGTTTGCTATAGAGAAGCACGGTTCATCCCGATGTGCCTGCAGGAATTTCGGCTCATTAACTGACCAAAGGCTCTGGCATTTCTGACACCCCCCCCCCACCCCCCCAATCCCCATCTCTGGAACCTCCCCCACATTGCCCTCTGACTCACCTGAGAGAAGACGGCAGAAGACCTGCAGATCCCTCCCCTCAGAATACTGCTCATTCACCTGGAGAGAGAGGACATACGAGATACAGGATGGACAACAGCTATGCTCTCTCTTACGCTGCACTGGCTGCTTGACTCACTTCTGGTTTGGAAGAGAGACGCAGAGAGGAGCGCGGAGAAGAACTTGTGCTCTCCTGGATTAGAATTCAAAGAGAGCTGATCCTTATCGTAGGAGCGAGGCTTTCAGGATGATCTTGGGTAAGTTCTGCCTCGGTTCTTCTCCAAGGCTTTGTGTTAAGTGCTGCGGAACCCCTGGCACTCAAAACGTTCTTAACGCCACTCTTTTTAACTTAAAAATGACTTGTGTGAACCTGATGCGCAAGTATAAATCACAGTGGTTTCTTCAAGATGAATTCAGGTTGACGTTGAAGGTCACAGTTCTAGCAGCGGGTGTTCAGCTATACAAGCTGTTTCACCCTTGGTCAGACTCCCGCTGTCCATTCTCAGGGATTTTGACCCTCAAATAGAAAAGAAAAAAACTCTAAGGGAACCAAACAATCACCTTCCTAAGTTGAACTTCCTTAGTTTATGACAAGATAAAATGACCAGTTATATCTTGTTTGTGTGTGTATGTGAATATGTTGATTTGCTGTCTTATTCCATTGTATTCTTTGTGCATATTTTTTCTGTTTATCGTTATCATGATTGCAATAAGGATGCACCACTATAAAAACTCTGGCCGATACCTATATTTTTCGATAATCATTTGCATTTTTTTGGCCAATAATGATAAATGACTGATATTATTATTATTACGTCTAAATAAATAATAATAAAAAAATGATTCATGTTACAAGTTAATTTGCTACAAATTTAGGCATCGCATAAAAGTGTTCTTTTTTTATTATCGTTTTTAAAAATGAAGTTTAAGTGTGTGTTAGATGATGGCAAAGGTAATCTTAATGTACAAATAAAGGAAATGAGCTTGCATAATTAAACATTCAATATCAACCTATACAATAATAAAAATAATCTGTAAGATTGTCTGAGAACCGATATCTTGTGCGAATTATATCTCTTAATTTGCAATCCTTAAATTCTCTTCAGGAGTTTCCAATCGTATATCTTGAGCCCTTGATTCAGCTCTAAAATGAAACCTATAAACAACCACGACAGAGGTTGAGCATGATAATTTTTTATAGTCATTTGGATGCTTCTGGAGAGTTCCTCTATTGCTCTAGGCTGTAGATGTGTGTGTGTGTGTGTGTGTGTGTGTGTGTGTGTGTGTGTGTGTGTGTGTGTGTGTGTGTGTGTGTGTGTGTGTGTGTGTGTGTGTGTGTGTGTGTGTGTGTGTGTGTGTATGGTGACTAGAGGCTGCAGCATCTGAGCCAGCTCATATTCCTGTAGGGGTTGTGTGTGTGAATATAGCCTTTGCACTCTATTGCAACAACACAATCGTGTCAGACAGTTGTCATTGTGTAGCTTAGCTCTAAGTTAGATCATCATAATCTTTTTTAGTATACCTGTAACATACCTGTGTGTTGCTGTGCGTGTTTGCTCTGTGAGGGAACACCAGTTGAGGCCACATTGTTTAACGCATGCCTGGGCTAATTTAACAGCCGAGCTGCTACACTTCTCGCCGGCTTTTTCCTCTAGGCATGTTTTCCAGGGAGCCAAGCATAATGATTATAGGGATTGTAATGTGTGATCTGTCTGCTTTGTGTGAGTGTGCGTGTGCATATGCCATTACTACAGACAGAAATAATTTATAGTTGCAATGGAATCATCCTTACATTTGCTAAATATGTCTTTACCATCTTTAGCATGCAGAATGGGCTGGTTTGTGAAATATTCTCAGCCTAGAAGAGTCTTTATGTCCAATATGTTATGTTAAAAGCAAGCAAGATAATTCACAAAAAAGTGTGTATTCTCACCTTCTTTTAAAAAAAAAAGATTATTCCTCTTTATTTTTAGGATAGTTCACCTAAAAATGAAAATTCTGCTGCCTACTAATCCTCATGTCCTTCCAAACCTTCTTTCTTGTGTAGAACACAGAAGGAGATATTTAGCAGAGCGGATGTGGAACAGAGACAGTCATGGTCACCATTCACTTTCATTTTGGGTATATGAGCAGCTTGGACATTCTGCTAAACATCTCCTTTTGTATTGCATGCAAACAAGAAAGTCATACAGGTTTGGAATGACATGGGTGAATTAATTATATTAATTATATTTATTTTTGTTTTAATTATTAATTTGCTTTGTTTGATTGAATTATTAATCGAATTAGATTTTAATTGAAAAATTCGATTTGACGCATGCGATTCATTTTTTCAGTTTAACACGTTAAAAATATTTAACGCAATTAACGCAGCGTCCGTTTTTCCAACATAATTTGGCTAGCGTTACATTATATGATCACGCTCTATTCACGCAAATGCTTTTAAACCATTCAAGCGCGACAAGACAATAGAGAAAGCACTGTCTGTGAATGTCCTGACACACACACGATGCACAGAAAGCTGCGCATCAGTAACGCACGCACAGATAGCGCGCCAGAATCGAGTTCTCTTTCGCGCTTGAACAGACAATAACACACAGAATTATGCCAAAATGCCTGTTTTGTTGAGTATTCTCATAAGAGCACTCTTAAATGAGTTAAATGAAGTCGTAAATGAACTTAAATGAGTTATGAGAAAATGGGAGCATGTCAGATCCGCGCCATGTGCGTCAGATCTTAAAGTTAGAGCAGCCTAATAAACCAGTTACTGTGATGTCTGTCATTAATGTTAATCAAAGAACAAAGGTAACAGAGAAAATTGTAGCTTTAATAAGGATTATTTATAATTTATGCAGTTAAGTGTTTGATAACATTATTCAATTTCTGTATATTTCTGTATTTTTATATTTGTATATTAATATCTGTTAGACTGTAGGAAGGTGCCACAAGTAAATATGGGATTTATTATAATGGCTTTATGTGAAGTTTTAAGTTCACTTAAATTAAAAGTTATTTTTTATAGCCTAATAAATGTCTGAAATTGATAGCTTTCAATTATACTGTAATGTTGAATGTCTGTAATTAATGCTTTAAAAAAATCTATTTCATAGTCATCAATACCAATATTAGTATCAGTGATATTGGCCTTCATTCATAAAATATACTGTCTTTAAGTTGTTTCTACATTGATTTGGAGAGGAACTGAAATTATTACGATATAAAAATATTAAAAACCTTAAAAATAATCGAAATAATGTGCGATTAATTTTTATTTTTTTAAATATCGATTGATAGCACTAGAAAAAATCAATCTTAATGTTCAGAATTTAACTAGTTAACATTCCCTTTGTGTTCTTTCCACCTTCAACTGTGTTTTATTTGGTTTGTGTGCAAGGGGTTGCAGAATTGTGAGTACTTGAAATTGGCCTGGTTGAACAAACAGACGAGCACAGACGTGCCGCTCCGTTCCCATCAGAAGAGGCAGGAATGATGTTTGTGACTGGAGAAATGGGCTAATGGCTTCATTAACCTGTCTGATTACAGCTCCGTCTATTCAATCTAATCAGTCACGTCTGACAATGAATGTTTTCAAGTAGGCTACTCCATGTGATGGAGGAATGTTTTCAAACACTCTGTCAGCATCTGTGTTCATTACCACATTTCGGTCCTTTTTTAAAATAAAATTTCAGACTATTAATAAATGAATAATTAATGTTTTTTTTCCTGCACAAGTGTGCTCGGTGCTGCTATGACTCCATGTTTATGGACACATCTGAGGTGAAAAATAGCATTGCTGTGCATGCAAAGCTAAATTATACTAAATTATTGCAGACCTGTATCTTAATTTTAGACATTTGTTTCTGTTTTTAATTAATATTCTTTTAATGTGGGTTGTTGGTATTTCGAACAAAGACTTTTGTCATTGTGGTGACCTTTTGTGTGATTGCAGATGTACACAAAACGGCACATCTCTGCACTATTTTACACTCCAGTAAACAAAAATGATATAACACACTACATTATAAGAGCTGTAGTGTGATGCAAAACAACTCTTTTATGATCTTCCTTTTTTGTGCAGAATCTGTGTGATGACTTATTTAGTCCTTATCTAAATGACCTTGACCACATCCCCTTCCTCCTTTTTATTTTGTACCTGCTTTTAGCCCTTTAAAGGCCCATTCCCATTAAGCGATTACTACAGTAGTGTACACATCGATGTACTATAGCATACATTTTATAAAGTGAAATAAGCAAACACTGAAGTGGTATCATGAAACTTAAAAAACGGTGGAATTTTTTTTTTTTTAACACTGTTCCTGAGCATTATAACCCAAACGTTTATCTGTGTGCTGCACATTTTACGGAGGACAGCTTCCAGAGCCTAAGAGAGTACAATGCTGGCTACGCACAAAAGCGTCTCCTGAAAGACGCAGCAGTTCCTAATTTGTCGGGACAATCAGTTGTTTATGGATCACAATATCTATGCTTTATTATTAGTGGCTCCGGCTGCTAGCTAACATTACAGTGTTGATGAAGTGTTTAGCTAACGGGGCTCTCGCTTTTGTAAGACTGTTCACCAATCTTTAGGAACATACCACTCTGAAATGTCCTGTAAAATCCGTGCTTGCAAAGGTTCTGCATGATCCTCTTGTTCGTGGACATTCTCAGGGTCTGAATCAGGCTCGAATTGGTATGGCAAAATTGACAGAATTATTAATATTTACTGAGCAGATGAAACTCGGGGTTATGCTAAGGGAACACCCTCTAAGCGGTTCGCAAATCACAACACACTGGGCCAGCTAACCAATCAGAGCACATTTCGGAAGGAGGGGCTTCATTGAAACGAGTACTTAACAGTGCGTTTGAGACAGACTGGGAAGAGAGGAGCTGCAATAATGTAAAATATGTGAAAAATAATGTGTTTTTTGAACAGTCAAGCATAAAAACTAGGGGTGGGCGATATGGCAAAAATATTATACACGATTTTTTTCAGGAAAATCACGATTAACGATTTTATCACGATTCTTTTTCATGTTGGTTTTACTATTTTGCAAGTGACTGAGCATTACAGCCAAACTAATGTCCCTATTTAAAAAAAAAAAAGCCTTATAGGTAACAAAAGAAAAAAGAATGGCAGACATTTAGGCCAAAGTGGCGAAGATAAAAATCTTTATCATTATTTTCTTTGTTATTAAGAATTAGGAACAAAGATACACATTAAGCAAACACAACTTAATATACAAATGAAATAAACAGT